ATGATTCCTTCCTTTAAATATATTTGCATGTTTTGCTAACATAAGATGTGGCATAGAGTATCTCTAAATTTACCCTTCCAAAAGATAAAATTCCTACTTAAGGCCAACTGGAATCAGGCTAAAGAATTTTGGTGACAAAATAAGAGTCATTAATATTGTAAAATTAGGTCATACCTTGGTATTAAAAAGTATTAAGTAAAAAAAATAGATATTTTAATGTACGGACTGCATAGTTGATTTAAGAGCCAACTGCACAGGTCTCAGTTTAAAAGTAGGTATACTAAATGATTAAAAGAAAACCCAATCAATTGTATTATTACATATAATAATATACAAAATGAGGATAAATTTGGACTATTATAGATATTTAATTTCATAGCAAAGATGTTCGCAATAGGATTCCTCTTGTTGATCAAACATACAATAACAATTATTTAAAACTTAATACAAAAAAGTTGTTATTCACAACATTATGATCTCCAGACAAGGTAATATATGCATTCAGTAGAATAGAAATATTCCAAAATATGAAGTGTAATCGTTTAACATACAGGGACTACAATGTGATACTAATCTATTGAAATTCCTACTCACTACTTCTAATGAGAAATCACAGCTACAGGTCAATAGGAATATGGAAAAGTAATACCTGTGTAATGCACACAACCTTCACAAGGTAAACTGAGCCACTGTCTTAGGAATGCTACACAGGGGAATGGTTGGGATGCACTTAGAGATCACTTACCTTGAAATTATAATCCCATTTACCTGCTCTCTAATAAAGGTAAATAAAAGAGCGCAGTGTGAGTAAAGTCTAAATATTAATCTATTGCATTTTACCTATGGAAAAAAATTCCTTATATTGTGACCCTGAAAATTATTTGACACAGATATATACAGAATTCACAACAAGTATTTTCTAAGTCAACTTGCTCAGTCACATGAAAAATAAGTTATTTTTAGCATCATATTTTTCTCCCTTTTTTCTTTGTTGCATAGTGTTTGTTGAACATAAGTGTTCTGATCTAAAATTAGATTCTCACACTGTATGTAGCTGCCTAGTTATTCAAAAAGAAATATAATTATGTACACATATCATAGGAAAATATTCTAAAATGACTGGAACACAATTGTGATGTTCAAACAGAATATAAGAACACCTAAATAAAACAGAATGAATAGATGACAGAACTTCATAAGAATACTTTTTAAAATGCCTCAGTGAGATGAATTTTTTTTCTTTTTATTTAATCCTGGCAATAGGCAATTCATGGCACAGAAAGGTTTGTGTAATTTGTTTAAGATTCTAATCCAGATAGGTCTCCCACAATTTTGCTAATGATGCCCAGGTTGCCCTCAATTCAAATAGGTTAGGCCACATATAAGATGACAGTGAATTGAATGCATGGTTATTTAAGAACTATTTATTTTCGTGTGTCAGAAATGCTACATTTCAAATCAAAGTTGACCAAAGAAGTGCATTTATTACTAACATGTGCTTAGTTTCACTCAATTATAAGGATAAGCAATTATGCATTAATTATATTATGAATATGTATAGCTAAAGTTCGTAAGCAATTGGAGCAAAATGACAAAGTAGTTTTTTGACTGCCTGTTTAGCTAAATAGACCATATTTATTGTAGAACATCTTTTCCACTATTAAAATAATGAAAAAATTTATAACATTTGGCACAACAAATAATTGACAGTATTTGTTTTATTTAAATACTGTATATTTAGCTTATTGTATCATAACCATTGAAAGAATCTAATTATTTCTAGTTTTTCAATAACATTGAGAGGCAATGCAATATAGTAGAAAAATTGCTGGATTTACTGCCAGAGTCTGGCTATACAAACTTAAATGAGGCATTTACCCTATGCTGCAGTTTAATAATGTGAAAAATAGAATAATATCTGTCTTATAAGACTATTGTAAGAATTGCATGAGAAAATGGATAAATACATGATGAACTTTATTCCCTTCTCTTTTTCCCCACAAGTAAACAAAACCAAAACAGCTTCCATGTTTTGAGGCTTCATGAGACTGTTTCGATTTTTCTCTGGATATTCCAACAATTCTGCTCCTATTTATGACTTGCTTTTCTAAGATTAAAAGGCCTATGGGAGATGAGGTGATGGAATATTTCAGCTGTTCACATGGTGAGATTCACAATTGTACTGATAGCTAGCTTGCTTTGAATACTTTATTAGGACCTGATTCCTAGCTCTGCTGCTAGTGGTGTAATCTTTGTGCTATAGTTCCTCCTGATAAAAGCTGAAAGGAGAGAACTTTAAGGTACATTTCAGTTCTGTAGTTCTGTGAACTCCAACGAGTTTTATTCTGCCTTGAACTGCACCACCTTAGAGGTTTTTCAAAGAATAATTTTGTCCTTGCTAGCAAAAGATAAAAAAATTGAGTTAAAGTAGTAAGCTGTGCTCACACAGGTTGGAATATGGGAAGAATAGAGCAATTATTCCTCTTTCTCATCTCAGTACCTCTTATCCTTTTGCTCCCTTTCCCTCTCTCTGCTCCCCTCTGGAGGCCTTGCCATTTTCCAAATTATATTCATACCTTTTCCTAAATTTGTAATATTCTTTAATCAGTGTATAAAGAGACTATAGAAGACACATAGATATTTGACCCTGTCCTTTTTAAATGTAAATGTGTATATAAATGATCGGGGATTTTGTTAAAATACAGACTTGGATTCTGTGTGTTTAGCATGGTTTCAGATCCTGTATTTCTAACAAGTTCCCAGGTGATGATACTAGTCCTAGAATCACCCTTTGCGTAGCAAGAGGTGGAACCCTTCTGTGAACGAAGAAACCATAAATGTAAAACTTAAAAGCATACTAATGTTATATTTCAATTTTGTTAAAAAGAATATCTTTCTTATGACCTTCTTACAAATATAATTACATTTCAAAGCTAAAATTTCCAGAAAGGCAATGTATTATTCCTATAACTGCTCTATTTTCATGTCATTTTTAAAGACTATGACTTACAATTTTTTTAATTTGGCAAAGTGGTGTCATTATACAATGTGAATATCCCTAGTTAATCTTGCAAACATAAACATATAAGATAATTAAGCTATATAATTCATATAATCTATTTAAAATAACAAATTCTCAATATTTATGGCATTTTATAAGCTTTGTGTGTGTGTGTGTTCCAAAATCAAAGTAAACATAACACAAAATGTTACAGTGCACTGAAATACTGCAACTAGTCACCCAAAAGAGTAAATTTACAGCAATCATTTATTTATCTTAGGTGAAGCTACCTGTTTTTTTTTCTTCACATTTTACTTAAAATTCCTTAGTATTCAATAACATTGCTACCAGCTGACAGGAAATACAAACAAAAATATGCACCTAATTGCTAAGATAGTTATTTGAGTAATGCAAGAATTTGAGTTATGACATTGTTCACTCAAGAGTTATGGAAATGTTTAAAGCTTAAAAGCAGTATTATAAAATTCGACACTGCTTCATTTCATAAAATTGCATACAATCATTCCCCTTTCTTAATAAATATGTTCTAGATTTATTATTTTTAGCATAAGCTCAATAGAGTCTCAGGTTCCTCGTAGAAACTGAACAGTAACAAAAAGAAGAAGAACAAGTTTCATTTAAAAATAAATATCACTTGTAGGATTTCTACTGTATCTATACATTTAATTGTACTTTTCTTCATAAAATAGAGTGCTGATGAAGACTCTAGATTTATCTGCATGTATTTTTCATAAGCACTGTTTTCTGTAGGCTTAACATAAAGGATGGGTCCAATAAATAATAGTTGAAGAGAAAAAAATTGGTGGTCAGATAGAGTGAGTAAGATATAGAGAAGGCAATATCATCTTAGTAGAGCACATCCGTACAACATAGAAAGGGTTCTCAGTGTTTGTCCTCAATTATGGCCCAGAAGTTTTAGGTCCCAAATTAACCCTAAATAACCAGTTTCAAATCCTATGAGAATTCGGTAAGTTTTCCCAATATTCAGCTTAAGAAACTACAGAATCATGCAAATAATTAAAATGACATTCAAAATAAAAGACCTTGTTAAAATATCAATAATACCAAAAACTCTGTAGATTGGTTTTTAAAATGTTAAACTGTAGAATATTTTAGGCTTGCACGGAATACTGCATCTGTGAGATCCATTTATTTCTAATGTAGAATTTTTATCTTTTAAGAATGAAGTTTAGTTCTCCTTTTAAATAAATTACCTATTAATTTATAGTGTGGGAAATGTAACACAGATTACCAATTCATTTTGCTAATCAAAAGAGTAAACTGAAAGAAATGAAGCTGTTTTCAAGAGTAAGCTTCCTTACGCAAAGGAAAATATTTCTTTTTTATTAGCTCCATCTGATGGCTGATCTGGTTTTTACACACTGCCTGGAAATAAATTTCCAGCAGGAATTTTGTTGTTTTCTCTCCCTCTCCTCGACAGAAAGGTGTGCTATACTGAGAAGAGGCTACTCAGCTCATTATGTGACTAATTAGTTTATTGAATTCTGTAAAGTATTTACAATTGTAAACAGTAAAGAAATCTTGTTAATCTTGGTTGATATTCTTCCTTCCAGGTGAGAAACATAAATGTCAGAGATTAGTGTTATAAAATTTGAAATTTAAAAATATGGACATATTGTCAATATTATCCCATATGCACATCTTCATATAAACCTCTCAGATAAACCTGGCTTGACCCTTGCCTAATTTATGTTTGGCATGTACATGGAGATAACAAACTATCATACACAAAACTGATTTTATTGTCTTCATTCATGTTTTATATTAATGGACCAATTTGGCAAAACCTGTTTATATGATATGGCATCCGAATATTATTAGATATGAACCTGTATGCTTGAAAATCTAATTCTGCCAGTGCAGATAAAAAACCAGCTTAAGATTTAAATGATGAATGTTGAAATATATAACTGAGCTTAAGCATCAAATAATAAGTAAATTAAGGAAAATACTCTACCTCAGCATCATATTCCCATAACTGATTTCCTCTCATATGGTGGCATTTTAACATGATTACAGGTCCATTGAGTCTAGAAACATCCAAGCACAAGTCATCGGTTCGGATTTCTTTATCAGCAGTGTAAGAAAATACCTGAAAATATAAAATTCAGCTAATAAAATAATATGCACGTTTTACAACGTCATAGTTTAAAAATTTAGTATAGCAGATCTACCCACGGAAGCTTTCATATCAGATAAACTTGTGTTTTCAAACAATTACTGGTGTGTCATCTTGAGAAAGCTAGTTCATCTCTTTGAGTCCTTTTCCTCAATTGCAAAATAGGGACAACGTCATCTGTTTTATGATGTTTTGGTGAGGCCTCAATTTAACAAAGTAAACTATTAAATTTCCATTATTTGCTGGCATTGTATTTATTGCATGATACTTGCACTATAAAGCTCACAACAGGTTAAATAAAATAAAGTTTCCTGACTGCATAAGGCTCAATAAAGGGCAGTTCCTGTTCCTACCATCTTATGACCAGTTCTCGAAATCTACAATGTCATTTTTCATATAAAAGTTTAAATCTTCCTTCTGATAACATAAATACGTCTTGTAAATTGTATTAAGTATTGTCAGTAAGCTTCTGAAGGGTGTGAAATTATCTTCTCTAGAGACCTCATTAAAGGTAGGCTCTATATTTATCTCTCGAATATGGTTTGCCTACGCTTGACTACATCAATTATTCTCAAAATATCCAAGAATGTCATTGTGGATTATGGACTCTTTGTTAGATAATTCAATTGAACTATAATAATCTTTATTATTTTGTTCCTGGTGTGAATAATTTATTTATAACATTGATTATTAAAGTTTCATGAGGGTTATTAAGCACATAATTATAGAATGTGTTTTCTTCTATTAGCTAGGGTAGGTGTTGTTCAGTATTGTCTGGGTTTTTCGTTATCCTTGCAATGTGAAGAGAATACATAATGAGAAAGGTCATGTAAGGGTCTTTTGTTTCCCAGAGATATCTCATGAAATCTGAGGAAATCAGCTTTACAAATAACATAAACTCTGGAGCTTGTTAAGCTGAATGAGTTAGTCTTGGAAGAGTTGCCTCTGCAGTACTGCTACTCAGGACTTCTATGAAAATCACAAGCAGTGGTGAGAGGAAGTGGCAAAGTCAATGAAAGAACACCAATACCCTCTTCTGCAAACCTCTTAAAAGGAAATTATTAAGGGCTGGGTCAGTGGCTTACATCTGTAATCCCAAAACTTTGGGAGGCTAAGGTGAGAGGACTGTTTGAGCCAGGGGTTTTGGGAAACAGACTGAGATCTCATCTCTACAAACAAATTTAAAAAGAAAATTGTCCAGGCATGGTGGTACATGCCTGTTGGCCCCACTACTTGGGAGGCTGAGGTGGGAAAGGCTGAGTTATGCAGACTGCTTAAGCCATGATCACACCACTGCACTCCAGTCTGGGCGATAGAGCAGAGCAAGACCGGGTCTCCAAAAAAATATAATAATAATAATAATAATAATAAGGAAGGAAAAGAAATTTCTTCACAAAGATTATACATTTACTCAACAATATATAAATTTGAAAAATATGTGAAATGAATTATGTAAAATACATCACAGACTTCATGTATTCAATTTAGAAATAAATTTTCTATCTTCATTACTTTTTCACGTTCATACTTTTTAATGAAGAACACCTGCTTACCAAAAGAATAAAATAAAAACCCATTAAACAGAAATATTTATATCCTCCCCAAACAGTATTATTTTAAACACAATTACAAACTTATTTAATTACATAAGTGAGTATGATAGTGAATCTTAAGCTGAGAAAGAAAAATTTCTTTTGTTCATTATAGGATTATTTCAATACTGAAGGATAGTCTTCCACATTAAAATTGCTTCATTTTAATGTGTACAAATGTCAGTGTAAAAGGAGACATCATAACATCCATTTCAGCCTTAATATTCTATAGTAATGACTCAGGCCATTCTTATACAGTATATTCTTCTCGAGTCTCTTAAGATAGTTTGGAAACAGTAGCGGATGAAAGTTTTGGAGAGCTGTCTACCACATCCTTTGATCCTCAATTTCTAATTTAGATTCATTTTGTGGTCATTAGAGATATCTTAAGTAATTTGCATTTAAGAAAGATATATTTGTAGAATAGTTCCTGTACTTATATATGTATATAAATTGTATGTCTGCTAAATTGACTTTTTGGCCCTTGTACTTGAAAAATATTAATGGATGTTAAGTATTTGGCTCATGAGAAATTTTTGTTAAAAACTATCTGTAGATAACACTTCTTTATTTTTCTTGCATTAATGTAAAATCAGGATTAATTTGCTTTTTGTACCCGGGAAATAATCTCATTTTTATGCTTGTTTCTAGGATTTTTAAAAATCTTTATAAGTCAGTGCATGTCAGTATATACACATCCTTCTTGATTTTATCTGGAAACCATTAGGTTTGATATTAATTATTTATCATTATATCCATTAGTTTTTTTTTAACACACAATTGTCATTATTTTTCATACTTACTACTGTAAAAGGTTCATGGAATGCACTTTGGGTATACTGAAAACATTATATGTGGAATACTTTGCAGAGATTCTGGCACACAGACAAAATTCAGTAGCTGATATTTAGAGTTATTATTCTCAGTTTTGGAGTTAATCCCAAATTGTGAATCTACCCAATACTGCCAAGAAATTTTAGTATAGGGGTACAGCAATTTTTGGTCTTGCCTGTCTGTGCTGACCCCTTGGCCACTGCACAGTCCTAAGGGAGAGGTTATAATACCTGCTGACAGATGTTCCTGATAATTTCAGCATTGTATTATAAACCTCTAGATTCAGTACTTATGAGTTCCTTTATGACTTTGGGGACAATCTCCAAATTTCACACTGGATATCCTGGGAAGTAGCTATTCCTTATGGCTGTTGCTTGTTTCTGTGTCTTACTACACCATAGACTCTCTCAGTTAGTATGTGTAAGGCCCAACCTGTCTTCTTGCTGTGATTGAAACCATTAAGCCTGACTATAATGTGATTTAAAATATTTCAAACCTTAACACCAGTGAAGCACGTTACCTTAAACTGTCACTCATGTTGATAACTACAATATACAAGATTGATTCATTCATTAGTAAAATTTCATTGTACATTATCTTAAAAAAATGGAACCTCTTCTTCCTTTTCTAATTATCACCCAAATTGCTTTATCATCAGTTACCAATACTTAGTAAAGCAGAACTGAGTTACACGAACCATAGATTTAGCATATGTTTCCATTTGTTCCAGTGCCAGACTGAGTTTAATAACAATTGGTTCAAAGTCTAATCACTTTAATTAAGCTAAGGTGGCTTGGAGCAGGGAAAAACAATCAATCTCTGTGGCTTTCCTTCCATTATAAAAGAGGAAACAGGGAGGAAGTTAACATTAATTGGGCACTAACTTTGTTAAAATGGTGTGTTCTATGCTTCATACATATTACATTAAGTAAATGTGCTCTATTACTTCATTGTGCAATTACATTTCTATGAATGTATACCAACTTACAGTATTGCAAAACATAAGTAGAGCTCTTTGCATGAATCCTATGAATTTAATAACTTATGGTGATTTTTTAATATATATTTTATTGCATTTTAGGTTTTGGGGTACATGTGAAGAATTTGCAAGATTGTACCTGCAGTGATTTTAAAATTCTGTGTTTCACTCTTACTATTCATGTTGTCTAAACTAAAATTATGAGCTATCTAGTATCGCATACATTCTTCTGTAGTCCTTCAGTCAAGCTAGGTCTACCAACAACGACGACATTGGCCATTTTTACTCATCTCTTTTAATCTCAGCTATAAAACGATGAAAATGATACAGGTGATAAAGTCTATGCTGCATTCTGTGGACCTTGTTGATTATTATGCCTTTCAAAATTAACCACTGTAATAACTCAGTGTTTATTGTTTACTGTGGTATTAGTTCACTGGGGTTGCCATAGCAAAGTACTATGGACTGGGTGGCCTAAGCAATAGAAATTTATTTCCTGACAGGCATGGAGGCTGGAAATCCAAGATCAAGGTATTAGTGGGGTTGGTTTCTGCTAAGACCACTCTCTTTGGCTTGTAAGAGGGATCTTCTCCACGTGTCTTCACATGGTCTTCCTTTTCTGTTTGCACGTGCCCTAATCTCCTATTTTAATAAAGACATCAGTTACACTTGATTAGGGTACCCTAATGATGCCATTTTAACTTTACCTCTTTAAAGACTCATCTCTAATGCAGTTACATTCTGAGGAACTGGGAGTTAAGACTCCAACATATGAATTTTCTTGATGAACACAATTCAGGCCACAACACTATTAACGCTTTATAATGTATTGGAGTGTTTAACATATCTTTCCTTATTCCTAAGTGAAAAACATGATGTGTATGATTTTTTTGGCTAACCTGTTTAGGTCACCTTGGGATCAATTTTAAAATTAGAATATACTGTTTAGTTTTACTAATCAAAACTCTAAGTGTAATGTAATATCAAATCTTTCCCCCTTCTCCACATTGGACCTGATTTATGGCAGCCTGCAGAGGAAAAGGTTTTTCCTGTTTTACATCTTAAGCTTCTTTTTTTTCTTACTGCTCCTGCCCACTCCCAAATTCGCCCAGTCTGTTAATCAGCTTTTTTTTTTTTTTTTTTTTTACTTTTCTTTCAGAGTGGCAAAGCTGTAGGAGAGATCTTACTTGAAGTGTTTTGTATAACCCCTTCCTTTTCTCCCGCCTGCTAGAGATTTAAAGCTCCCTGTCCTGAGATCATTTGAGGTTTCTTAGAGATTCCCATTAAGTGAAATGCAAAGGAAAAAGACAACGTATATTTTACATGTGAGCCACTTTTTGTGAAAACTCTTGGAGGCAGACTAACATTAGGCAGTGCAGACAGTTCCCGGAATTCAGTTGTCACAGACCAGCCTTATTATCTGTGAGTCAGGTCACAGCCTGCCATATTTTCAAGTACTAGAAGCATATAGCAAGTTCTTGAAATGGCATCCTACATAATTTGCAGGCCCCAGTGCAAAATAAAAATGCAGAACTTATTTTTACAAAATTATCAAGAATTCCAAAATT